ATATATATATATATATATATATATATATATGAGTTGTCATAAATAAGTAAGTAATAAATAATAAGTAAGTAATAATAAGTAAATAATAATTACAATCTTTTACACATATTACAAGTGTTATAACATGAGGTACATATGTAATGCATTTATTGCATTTAAAATATTAAATATTGTTTAATTTTCAACTAGAATTAAAATTCTTATGAGTTTTTAGTCTTGATTTTTAACGCCCATACGGACATATGAAGTAGACAGCTCTCGTGTGTCGTCGAATATCGGGGAACAAATCTTTGCTGTCTCAGCAAGGAGAAGTTGTCATTTGGTAGTCAAACGATCCTCAGAGATCACTTTCAACAGCTTGATGGCGACATTTAGTCCGATACTGTGGTCGATGTTACATCGTGTATTCTTTCCCACGATATATTTCTTTCGAAAAGACGATAGTTGTATGTATATTTACATTTCGGAATTTATCCTAATCGGCATTTATTTCGTAAATAATAATATTTATATGCTTCTTCATGTAAGATTGGGCATATCTTCTTTTCCTTGCTGCAGATTCGAGTTTCATAATTCCCGCTCAACCAGTTATAATATTATTCAAGACGGGCGTGGACCGGTGGCTGCTATAGTTTCTGTGGCAACAATCCGGTGTTGGCAGATTCGGTGAGTTTTATCCAACGTTACATTTGTTTCTTACAAGTTTCCCGCAAGTTGAGTTTTTACGAAACTGATGTGTTATATGTATAATTGTTATACACGTTAAGGGAGGGGGATCTACGTTTTTAAATTATAACTTACCTAGAAAGCGTAATTTGTGTAATATTTAAAATACATTAACCTCCAAAGAATCTTACACTAATTATGTGGGAAATTGAGCCCCAGTGAAATAAGTTAGTTTTCATATATGTGTAGCTTATAATGTAATGAACAAAAAATATTGTATACGCATAGCTCACATAATGGATAGTTCTTTAATTATGTTTATGAAAAGTGTAAAACTTGTGCTCATAGAACACCTTTCAAGAATTATCCATTTCATTATCATTATTTGAGCTATTTGTATATAACATTTTTCGCATGGATTATCTACGATCCACACCGATCCACGCAGCACGAAATGTGTTTAATAGTTGATCGATAATTTATATCAGTTACGAACAAAGCGCAGCATTCTCATTAGGTCTGTTCGCGTTGCTAGAAATTCCGAAGAATGTTTGCACTTAAAGCGAGATAAATATATATTTGGAGTTGAAGAAAAAGAAAAAGAAGATACTGAGTAAAAGAAGTGTAAGCAACGAAAATAGATCTAATTATAACTATTGGAAAATCTCTACTGTTATCCGGAAAACTCGAAATTTATTATTTATTAAGCGTGAAGAAGTCAACGTTATATGCAGATAAAAATACGAAATGTTGTAACTGCTAAGCATTTGCGAATCGAATCGATAGTGACGACTATAAAAATCGAGACAATAGGCCTGTTCTTTTTGGCTGAACTTTTGCACCAGTTCATCTTTCTTCCTTTTCTCTCTAGGAGGTAAAAAGAGGAAGAAAGATGAACTGGTGCAAAAGTTCAGCCAAAAAGAACAGGCCTATTGGCGCGCCATCGAAAGTATAAGCTTCCTTGATTCATCGCCGGCTCATCGGCACTAGAGATCCTCAAGTAAGAGATGCGCGAACTTCGAGCATTTGCAAGAACATGGTGATCTTCATTATGTGTCATATGTGTGTGGAGGTCGCTATGTTCTTGCAATTGCTCAGAGTTCGCGCATCTCTTACTTGAGGATCTCTAATCGACACGTGTCTGACCACGTGTCGGCCTATATCGCGTAGTCGCAGCACGGAATCGTTTCTTATCCTCTCCGTGATTGTGTACGTGCGCGTGCCTCGCTAATGAGATAACTTTACACAAGTGCGTACATTGCACCGGCGCGGCGCGAGCGTAGAGAAAGGTTGTGTTTATCATTCGCCTTTGCAGTTGTGACATTCCTGGAAGCTGGAATCGCGTTCCCTCGATTATGAACGTTCACGATCACCGAGGGATTGTCGGCAGGCACATTCACGTAATTTATTACATTCGCGTGACTGCGCGCGTATCTCGCGCGAGGGTTTTTCGCGGAATGCGGTAACGATATGGCTCGATTATAAAGTCGTTAATCGTTAAGAAAAGGTCCTCACCGTCGCTTCACGTACAGCTAGAGATCCGCGTAAAAATTTCGTAACGAAAGAAATATATGCATATTGTAACCACGGTTGCCAGGTTTCCAGATTTCGACTGGAGACTCCAGTTTTTGGGATCAATCTCCAGTTTTCCAGCAGACGGGAAAAATCTCCAGTTTTTCATTCGCGTGTGATATCTATTGATTGTACTATCCAGTGATGTCCGTGTAATATTTAAATTACGTGGAGAGTAATAAGAAAGTCTGTGATTATGTTCGTAGTTTATGTTATTTTACGAATAATAAAAAAGTTTGTAATTGTGTTCGCACTGTATGTAATCTTGTAATAATAATAAAAACAGTGCTCGGGACTTGGCAACCGTGATTGTAACATTCCTTCTTTGCCAAAAATAAAAAATGCTATCGTTGCACTCGAAAATATGATTTTTAATTTGTGTGCAGGCGCAGTAGCAACTCGTTTCTATTGCTCCCTCTACATCACGATGATAACCCTTTTAATGATCTTCCTCGGCATATTTCTCGTATTTCTTGTCTACATCTTTCGTAAAAATCGCAAAACGTATCGACTTCCACCGGGACCATTCGGTATTCCACTGTTTGGTTATTTACCATGGATAAATTCGAAACGTCCTCATGTGTCGCTCACGGAATTGGCGAGGAAGTATGGTCCGATTTGTGGGCTACGAATGGGTTCTGTGTACACCGTATTGTTATCGGATCCGCAGCTGGTAAGGCAGGCCTTAGCCAAGGATGCGTTTGCCGGCCGGGCTCCATTATACTTGACACATGGAATTATGCAGGGATATGGTGAGTAAAATATTTCCTTTCTGTTACTACATAAATAAAAATAGATTTGCCACACAAACAAAAGAAAATAAGAAAAGCATAATAAACATCGCGGAATAAACAATAAAAAATTAAATAAAACAAATGACTAAACTGAAAAATAAAAAAATGGAGGAAAAGATTTATCATTTGGAGTCAAAAAGTTAAAATTTCTAATTGCAATGTAGAGAAGATGAAAATTTTTCTTTTGAATTTTATCGATGTAAATAGATAAAATAGTATAGTAGTATAAAGAGATAATAATGTAGTAGATAATAAAGTAGGATAAGAAATAACTTTGAAATGTTATTGACCCTAACAGCATAAAGACATTTTATAAACGTCCTAAGAATGTCGTATTAGCTGAGCGGAACATCGTGAGGATTGTATCTGTTATAGTCCAGAAACTTGTTAAGGATGTCCTGTAGACTATCAAATAAGCGTCTCATTATTTTCTATACGTACATCCACTGAAAATTCTAATATAAAGTCCTTTGCCATCGTTGATTATCACAGCCGTCATGTGTGGTTGATCACGTTCGAATGTGCAATGCTGCCATCGCTTGCTTAAGTCAAAAGCCATCTATTATAAAAAAAACGAGACGTACATTTTTCCTGGTCGACGACAATAATAATAATAATAACGACGTATCTGAATCTGAATGTGAAAAGTGACAGATCCGGACTTTGCGTCGCAATATCTCCGCTCGTAGGGCACGTAGAAAAAAAATAAAAGCACTTTTATCATACAATCCGTGCGGTGGCTATTGATTGAGCGTACATAGAACGCGATCGATTCAGCCGTTATTTAGATCCGATAATCTCGATTCCGGCGCAACTCGTCGGTCCGCGTAAAGGAGGCACGGCAGTGTTGCTGCGCTTGGCTTAGCGCCGAGACACTACCGTGTCTCCAGATAGACAACATCTAGACACCTAATTCCTCGACGGCGAACACCTAGACACCCACTTCCTCGATGGCGAACAGCTAGACACTCATTTCCTCGACGGCGAACATCTAGACACCAACTTCCTCGACGAAGAACATGTAAACAACACCTAGACACCCACTTCTTCGATGGCGAGTTTCCTCGACAGCGAACACCTAGACACCCATTGTTGGAAACGACAGAAACATGTGTCGCTTCTCTGTCATAGCTTAGGCTAATATTACATTGGTCGTACGACAAATTTTTCAAGCGTGTTAATTGGCTGCAGGACAAAGAGATCCGAGAACCTCTTTGTCCTGTAGCCAACGGTAGAGTCAACGGGCTCGAATTTGTCGTATGACAAAAAAACGGACGCATGTAATATTGGCTTTAGTATGATCGGATATGAATGGTTTTTCTGTGGCGCTACTAGTGGTCCATGTGAATGTGGATGGGTTGGCGTCCTTTTTATAATAAAGTGGCACATTTACCTGCATCCTAAATTTTACACAGAATGACCATCTAGCGGCAGTCCTAGAATATCAGAAAGATCCAAGAATATGTATTCGTATCGTATATCTCACAGATGGATATTTTTATTCTCAGTTGCTGTCGACTGAATGTTGGCACAACAGAGAGATGCGTTTTCACACTCGATTGCTATTAACCGAATGTAATGTATTTGAAAGCCAAAATAATGTATTTGACCCAAAAGAGAAAGCGGGAAGAGATGAAAACGCGAAAAGAGAGAGAAAGGGTACATCTGTTAAATCTATAGTGTATAATTTAATTTAATTTAAGTCGCCACTGTTCCTACCAAATATAATATTCTTTTATATTAAAACGATAGTTAAATTTGAAACTACATCGTGTCAATTTGACACTAAATATAACCATTGTTTTAATATAAAATAATGATATAATTGAGTGACAATTTATATTAGGTATACTTACGGTGACCATATTTTCTTAAAGAAAATAAAGGACAAATCTGAAAATTTTAGGACTTTGTCCCTACATATTTTTAAACCAGTTCGTGATTGTCAAAAATTTGTGCATTATAACATTTTATTGCACAGTATAATTAAATAGAGATAATGTGTTGCAGTTTTCTGATAGTTCGAAACTAGTTCGACTGTATTGGAACAAACTTTTGATCTGAAATAATAAAAGGTTCGAAATAATAAAAAATGAAAACAACTCTAATTTGAATAAATTTAATTTAAAAAATTAAGAAATATAATTAACAAAAACAAATTGTATTTATATGCATAAAACTGTAAGATATTTTCCGTAAAAATTTGCTTATTGGTATAATATTATAGACATTGAAACGCTAGTTCGAAAATAATTTCCCATAATGTCAAAATAAGGGACAATATTGGAAAATAAAGGACAAAATTTGAATTTTGAAGAAACATAAATCTAAAGGGCAGCTACCTAAAATAAAGGACTGTCCTTTACAATAAAGGATGCGTGGTCATTGTAGGTATATTGGATGTCAGTAAAGAAGTGCAGGTAATCGCCAACATTCCAGATCAATACTGCCGTCTCTTCGTTAAAGGCCTATCAAGTAGTCTCTTACTTCTTACTCTTCTCTCTTTTCAACCATTGTCCCTCTCTCTTTCTCCGATAATCTATTTTTCTCCGTCTCCTCTTTTTCTATTATTCTATGCGCTTTTTTCGCTCTCGTTATTATTGCTACTGCACTCCGCCTTCGTCTCTTTTTCTCTTTTTGATTTTCCTATTCCATGTTCCTTTTCCTTCCTTCACACTCTATTTCGAATAAGCAAAAGAGTCAAACTCTATAAGTATAGAATAACTTCGGTATATACGCCGCACCTATCGAAAACTTGATTTATTAAGTATTATTTACTATGTTTAAAGTAAACGAACTATGTCAGTAAAAACTTTGTATTATCTACTACTATGAAAAAAATATTAGAAATCCGAAATATACAGGGTGTCCCATTTTAAATGATCCAGCTAAATATCTCGAAAACTAAACCCAGTAGACAAAAATGTTTCAGACAAAAGTTGTTTGACTCGAAGGGGGACATAAGATGGTGCCATCGATTTGACCTTGGATAGTCCTCTGAAGGTCACGTGAAGGTCACCTTTAATTTTTTAAATGGAACCCCTTATTTCACATTCTTACAGCTCATCTCGAGAGCTTTCCAAAACACTATAATTAAGTTACTTTTCATTAAGTACTAGTTAAGTTATAACAGTGAAAAGGAATAAATATCATCTAAACTTTAGGGAATAAATATTAATATTTCTAAAAATGATGTTATTTCTTTATGAATTATAAGAAATAGGGTTCTTAATAAAGTAAATGGTTGTATGTGCTACGATTATCACTGTGTAATTACTTTACACAATTTAATAATTTAATAATAAATTTTTGTACGTTAAATTCATAAATATAAAAGTTATTATTTGTAAATGTAATAATTATTTAGCAAAAAAAGTTTCGCTAAATAATTAAAAATTTCATGGAAGATACGGGCCTAATGTATTTGTCACGGACGCTCCTGAGGCCGGATCAG